TGATCAAACAAAAACTAACCAGTAATCTAACTTAACCAAAGTTTGATTTGTACGTTATAGATTGTATTTCTGCGTAAGAACATAATGAAAATGTTCTGTAGTAATAGATGTATATCTATTTCGAATACAACCTGGCTCAACTGGCAACATTGATAAGAAATTACATTTTCTATCACAGTTGACAGCTGTCATTTGATTGTTTTCGTTTTCCATCAATGATTCGACCTGGAACGTTCAGAGTGTGCAGAGGTCTGGTTATTTATAGGAAAATTCGAGTGGTTTTTTCGGTTGTGTTGAATAACTAGTTAGTGAGCCTAGTGACTCTTTTTTCACGGGATTACTATCAGTTACCCTTATTTTTACGCTTTTGATTAGCTCAGCAGTGTAGCAAGTAGTGATAGTGCCATAACAATACTAGCATGGGGACTGAGTCCCCCGGTGGAAGAGTCCTCCTGACATTAATATGCAAAATCGCAATGTAATTGATCAGCTCTCCCCTCCATCTAAATCCCTCCTCAATACTTAACACATCAACTTTCCCCCATTCATAAGAATGCCCTAGCTAATTTAGAAAATGAGATAACAGCATTAACTGAATTATTCCGTGAGGATCCTGAAGTTCTTGTCGCAGTAGAGTCCCTGCAAAAAAAGATAGATTCCGCAAAACGGAGAAAGAATTCCTACTATGACACTGATTTTGGACCTTTTACAGTTATCGTAGAGGGTAATAATGTAGCCCAGATCCACCCAATGGAATTAAGAAAAAAATTGCGTCTTTTAAATGTCAAAAACATAACAGGAATCAAGAAAAAAGATTAAACCGTGTTGGAGTTACGTTCTCAACCGCAGGAGATGCTAATAATTTCTTGGTTAACCATGCATTCGTCAGTAAGGAAAGTAAGGAATGGTGACACATTTACGTATGAACCATCTCGCTCGATGCTTATCACGTTTGAAGGTCGAACCAGACCTGATGTAGTCTAATTATTTTCCTTCACAACATTTGTTGATGCCTATATTTCACCAGTTAATCAATGCAAAAACTGCCTGCGATTTGGTCATTCTGCAAACCTGTGTAGAGGGAAAACACGATGTTAACGTTGCGGAGAAACTCATGAACCAGTTGAAACGTGTCAATTCTATAAAGTGTATCTATTGCCATGGACCACATGAAGCAACTAATTTTGGTTGTAAGGAATTTGACAGGCAGCGAAATATCAACGAGGCAATGTCCTTTCATGACATCTCATACTATGAGGCGTGCCAGCTATTTCCAGCTTTAATACCTAAGGAAACAAGACAATCATTTCATCGGAATGCGCAAGCTTTCCCTCAACTTCCTGGTGCAATGGGAAACTCTTCACCACCCAGTTCTTCGCAGATCAATCAAAGGAACTATGTCAGAGCAGTCTCAAGAGTAAAACGGCATAAATCAAATACCATTGAGAGACTGTGATAATAATGTCAACCCAGTTGTGGATGTCCCCAGGTCCACTAAGTGTGGCCACATTTGGATTTAACAACAATGTCCGTTACCAACTGGCCGGAAGCCTTAGTTGCTGAGGCCATTGAATCGAAAAGAAGAAGAAGTTTTCCATCAATTGTCATAAACATGATAATATAGACTGTCCGTGACTTCACTTCTACATATATCTACCTGCGAATCAGACAAGATCTTGGCGACTACGTCACACCATCATTCGACAAATCAAATCCCAAAAATTTTCACGTCGAGTGTATGAGTAACGCAAATGCCAAGACGTGAATCTCTATCTTTCTAAGTTTTTGGAATTGAAGTTCTCTTTTTAATGACCAGTCCATATTTTAACCTCACTGTTAATTGTTAGGTAGCATTAGCACTTCTATTTTGTTATCAGAAAGTGGTTTTGTGTGTGTATTTGTGATATTGGTGTATTTTATTTATCTACGCCTCCGCTTGACAGAATAGGAGAGGTTCATAAGTACTCGCTTCACTAAGACTTGGTCGATAGGGTTTAATCATATTTCGGTCGCCATGACTGCCGAAAATGAAAAAGGAGTTGAAGTGGAACAGGGTCAGAGTCAAAGCCAAAGTCAAGATTCTGTCGATAATGGACTTCTGAAACGACCAGCCGAAGGTAACATGTTTATGTGGTAAAAACTTTGATAGGCAATGCAGTGTTTATCAACAGTTATTCCTGATTTAAATGTATTGTTTGTGTAACCAGAAAATTACATTAAACAACTTTCTATGTTTTGAAATATGAAATGATTTGGGAAATTGAAGAAATATAGTATTTTAATTGGGTCGAAATACATTCTGACTGTAGCTGAATGAAGCAAAACAATACTTTATTCGTTTTTGGTTCAATAAATATCAATTAGTTGCTTTCAAACCACTTTTTTGCTTTTTAACCTTGAAGTTATTCATTTTCCAGATGAACCCGCACCCCTATTTCCCAAAAAGAGAAGAAGCGATGTCAGAAGTATAACTCTCAATGAAAAAAATCCCATATCGGTTCTGAACGAGTTGAAACTCGGACTCAAATATGAAATCATCGAACAATCCGGTCCTTCTCACAACCCAACATTCAGAGTGTGCGTCGAAGTCGACGGTCAGAAGTACTATGGCACCGGCAATTCCAAGAAAAGCGCCAAGACCGAGGCGGCCTCTGAGGCACTGAAATCTTTCATTCAACTCCCCACTAATGGCATGATTGTTTCGACAAATTCCATTGAAGTCAACAGAACGGATTTCACGTCCGACCAGGTTGTCACGAAAAATAAGAATGTGAAGCCTCCTTCGCTCAATAAGGGCGAGAAAGGACCCCTCATGCTACTGAATGAGCTGTACCCGGGAGCAGAATTCACGTGCACTTCGAACGAAAGTGATCCGTACGGGAGGTTCAAGATGACCATTTATATCAACGGGGAGTCCTTTCAAGGAACAGGTATAGCAAGTGCTATGATTCATTATTATAACTGTTGATGCGTTCTCTTCTTTCAGGATCGAATAAAAAGTTGGCAAAGAATGCGGCAGCCTCTGCTGCTTTGAATAAATTGGTGAACTATTCCCAAGACTACCAAAGACCTTCAAATCTTGACGTACCCTTTACGAGTAAGGAAAATCAAGAAAAAGCTGATGTAGTGGGGAGGTATGTTTCGTCTTTTTATAAGCCATTGTCCAACAAGCATATCGAATGAAATTTTATAATATTGTATCACATACAGGGTGAATGATTAGAGTTAACTAGTGTAGGGATCAAATGACTCATTTCCGAAAAAGTTGGTGTGATAAAAGGATTGATTATTCTCAAAAAAAAAAAACAATTCTTTTTTTTGCCAATGTTTCAGACTTCACTATGTTCTTATGTGTGTGTGTATGTAGCGTGTGGGTGTGGGTATGTGTGTGTAGGACTGTGTATATGTGGCTATGTCTGTGGGACTGTGTATATGTGGCTATGTCTGTGGGACTGTGTATATGTGGCTATGTCGGTGGGATTGTGTATATGTGGCTGTCTGTGGGGCTGTGTATATATGGCTATGTCTGTGGGTATGTGGCCGTTTCTGGGGCTGTATATGTGGCTGTGTCTGTGGGGCTGTGTATATGTGGCTATGTCGGTGGGATTGTGTATATGTGGCTGTCTGTGGGGCTGTGTATATGTGGCTATATCTGTGGGTATGTGGCCGTTTCTGGGGCTGTATATATGTGGCTGTGTATATATGGCTATGTGTGTGCCTGTGGCTATGGCGTTTGTGTGTCTGTTGGTGTATGTCTGTGTGGCGTGTGTTTTTAAGTAAATGATTATTTTGTTGTTATATTGATAAATCAGTTTTTATATGTTTGTATATAACCTATTGGTGTTTTTGGAGGTTTTAAACCATTGATAACCCTGTATTTCTACCCAACACCTCACGATATGGGCGTCTCCGTAGGTTGGTCAACGAGAAATTTTGCGACCTCATGGCTAACGATCTAACTCACATGAAAAGAAAAGTTCTTGCCG